CGATATAAATACTGTTCAGTTTCTTGCACAGACCGATCGTATTGTGTCTTTACACATCGATGTATCGTCACGAGCCGCAGGGTTTAATTTGGTATTTTTTGTGTATGTTTTTTTGACTCTCAAAGCCGTGATTCCCATCCACCTCCATTATATGACTGACAGACTGCAACGGTTTGAGTTAAAAATCTCCGTTTGTGTTCTACTGAAGAAACAAAGTCACCTACATCTTGGATGCCCTGGGGGTAAGCAGATAAACATCACATTTTCATTTTTGGGCGAACTATCCCTTTAACCTTTGGTTTCTGTATAGACAGATATGTTTTAGCAAACTGATCTTGCTCTTTAGCGCCACCTAGGGTTGAGCCGTTTTAGCCATACAAATACTGTAAAATCCTTCTCGGGGCAGCAGTTGCTCACACTTTCTGAGGTGAAGGGCCATTTTCCTTTGCTGTGCGTTCAGCTTCTCTCGTCGACAGGATAATTACAGTTTATAACGGCACCAGATGGACCTCCATTAGCCCGCTCCGTCACAGTCATAAAACGCTTTGTTTGGGTTTCATTTCTCATGTGAATTATACTGTCAGGACCCCCCAAAACACACTCGCCCTCCCAAACTGAGCTTTCTCACACACATTCAACAGCTAAAGTACATGAGTTTGACTTTCTCTGTCATAGTGCAATGTTATGTGATGTCTATGGCTGTTTTTTTGCAATACCATAATATATTAATGCAGTTTATGTTTACATATATGTCATACTATGCTGTAAAGAATATTTTAGTATTATGTACTTTTATAGTAAATGTTAATATTTTGACTTCGCTTTTGTTTACAGTTTGCATTTTAATTGAAGTTTTGAAAATTGAGTTTTGTGCTTTGGAATGTTTATTAGTTTTTGTGTTTTTTATTAAATGGTTGTTTAGCTTTAATTTTATTTTATTTCAGTTAGTTGCCAAGGAAACATTGATTTTTTTGTGTTTACAGTTTGTTCATATTTATGCATTATCACTGCAAAAAGTGTTTTCCTCAGTAGAAAAAATAAAATCAATACTGATATCTAAACATTTTTAAATCAATATACAAGATGCAAAAATGACATAAGATAAAATATTCTCGTTTAATGAGAAACTGATCAATTATTTTATGATTAAAACATGAAAATATTTGCCAATGAGATCAGAACATTAAGAATTAATTCAAAGGGTAAACAAGTTTGTTTTTCTGACCCCACTAGCAGATATTTTTAGCCTAGCCTACAAAAATTATGCTTGGAAGATCTGTTTTGCGTAATTGTCATTAATTATTAATGAGTTTTATGTCTTTTAAAATCACTGTTGCACAGGAAGTTCTATGTTAGTCTGAGGTTTCTGGTTTGTAGCCCCGCCCACAGTGGAATCTTATTGGTTCAAATTCTCATGTATTCTGATTGGCATTGATTTCTGTCAGTGTATTTGTTGCTGGAAACGTGTTGCATCGCTCCTGGTTAGGATGAGGTTTTACCATGGTTTTACAGTGATTAAGGGCGTTTTATAGGAACATCTCTTATTGCATGGCCTCGAGTGGTTTACTGTTTGATTCTGTACATCTGAGGAGCACATGCTGGGTTCCTGTAGTGAGTCACTGGAGAACAGGCTTCCAGCAGGAATTCAGGCCTGAGGGATTCACAAACAGCAGGAATGTCTTAAACACGTCTGATGCTTTCCATTCACGCTGGAAAACAATGAAAGCATCATGCATGGCTTTACTGTACATGAGCGCTCACTTTCAGTTCTGTGTGAAGGTCTCCAGTGATGTGGGTCAGATTGAGGAGATTTTAGATTGAAAAGCATGTAAACATCTGACAGCGGTTTGTGTGAAGGCCTTTGTTTTGGCAGGAATTCAGTCAAAACTAGCCTTCAAAAACCAATTAAGCGTTCTATGTGCAAAACGAGCAGTATTGCTGCGAAAAGTGATTTTATAAATCAGCAGTAATATCTAATCCTTGTTAAATCAAGGTACATTTACTAGAGATGTAAAAATGAGAAACTGATCAAAAAGTGATTTTTTGATTAAACCAAGAAAATTCATTCAAAGGGAAACGTTTATTTTTCTGATTCCGGTGGAAAATATTTTTTAAGACATGTTATACCTACAATAGCAAAAATTTAGTTAAATATGCAAAAACGAATTAACCATTCAGTTTGAAATGTTTAATACTGTATGCTGCATATATATTCATATGATTAAGAAACGGCATGTGATTTGCAGTATATACTACACTAAGGCTGCACGATTAATCAAAATAAAAACAAAATCCTGAAATGGAAAAAAAGTTTGAACCCTGCGGTATTCTTTCAAAATAAAAAATAGAAATAAGAAATTAAAAATACCATAAATATTAGTATTGTAATTTTACAGTTGTAATGTAAAATAAATGTATTATTATTATTATTGTGTTATTTTTATGTACTCAATTTTTATCAGCACAATAATGTTTATTTTTAATATTATATTTATATTATATTATTACATATTTGTATTTATATCAATATAAATCATTAAATTTTAATATTTATTATTATTATTATTATTATGGCCATACTGCAAAGTTGGGTTGAAACAACCCAGCATTTTTTAGAGTGTATAATCACTAAGTTTTGGCCAAATTGCAAGCTGCAGCCCTACAAACAAGAAGAGCAAACCAGGAATCTTTTTAAAATCACATTTTAAATTGCAGTCACAGTTTTTATCAGAAGAGTTCAATTCAGTCAGTCATTAATCAATCTGCCACAATCAGACCAGTTCAATTTTTCAAGCTGGTCTGATTCAGTTTTCCACAATTCGATTATTTCCCCCAAATCGTGCAGCCTTACACTACGCAGTATGCAGTATGCAGTATGCTGGTGTTTTATGATTGTTGAAGTGTTTGTTGTTGATTGTCCGCAGGAGATTCCTCGTCCTCCTCCTGTCAACATGTGCGGCGCTGCTGTCAGCAGAAGAGCCATCAGCAGCTCCAGGTACACTCACCTCATCACCTCTGACCTTTGACCACTGAACTTCCGCACGGACTCAAGAGTTCGGCCTTAATCTAGTCATTTGGATGTTAAAATACTTCCTTGTATTCCAGTTTAACACTCAGAGCAAATAGTTTTTTAATATTTAAACCGGAAGGAGTTTCAGTTCTTCAGTTTGACTGCGTTGTATTTGTTTTCCTTCCGATTGTATTTCTGTTTCTACGGAAACACTGATCTGCCAGTGTGCATATTTTACTGTTAATATGAAACTGAGACTGTGTGAAATGTCTATGTAGATTGGATATAAACACACAGAGAAAGAGTTATGGAGCAGTGAGCAATGAGCAAACTCATAAAACATTTTACAGGCACTAAAAGGCCATTTGTGTATAATAATGCTTTTATATGCGCTATAATATATGACCGGCTCTCATATATAATGCATTGCAATCAGTTTGAATTACTGAGCGCTTATAAATAGATTAAACTGTGCATGTTCATATTCTGAACAGAGTTTACATTTATGCATTTACTGTAGCAGATGCTTTAGCCAAAGCAACATACAAGAGAAGAACAAAAGCAAAAGAGATTTGAGTGTGTGTGAGATTTTTACGGAAGCTTGTTTCCACCACAGAGTTTGTGACATTTTTTATCTAACAATTGCGAGATCATATAGTGCAATTGTAAGTTATACTCTTTTTTTTTTCGCTCAAAATTCTACGTTTACATCTTGCAATTCTGACGTTTTTTCATAGTTCTTACTTTTTCATCGTAATTCTGAGTTTAAATCTGGCCATTCTGACTTTTTTTCTCGAATTGCATTTTTTCCTCGAATTGTGACTTTCTCGTAAATTCTAATTTAATAATATCTCGCGATTCTGATTTTTTTTTCTCGTAATTCTGACTTTTTCTCATAATTCTTACTTTTTCATCGTAATTCTGAGTTTATATCTCGCAATTATGACTTTTCGTCGTAATTCTGACATTATATCTTGCAATTCTGACTTTTTCTTGTAATTCTACGTTTAAAGACTCGCAATATGACTTTTATAATAATAATAATAATAATTTTATAATAATAATAAATATCTCGCAATTATGACTTTTCGTCGTAATTCTGACATATCTTGCATATCTTACAAATTCTTCTGTAATTCTACGTTTAAAGACTCGCAATATGACTTTTATAATAATAATAATTTTATAATAATAATAAATATCTCGCAATTCTGACTTTTTCTCATAATTCTACGTTTAAAGACTCGCAATATGACTTTTATAATAATAATAATTTTATAATAATAATAAATATCTCGCAATTCTGACTTTTTCTCATAATTCTACGTTTAAAGACTCGCAATATGACTTTTATAATAATAATGATAATAATTTTATAATAATAAATATCTCGCAATTCTGACTTTTCGTCGTAATTCTGACATTATATCTAGCAATTCTGACCTTTTCTCGTAATTCTGAGTTTAAATCTCGGAATTAAGACTTTTTTCGTAATTGTGACATTATATCTTACAATTCTGACTTTTTCTCATAATTCAGAGTTTACATCTTGCAATTCTGACTTTTTCTCGCAATTCTGAGTTTATATCTTGCCATTTTGATTTTATATCCTATAGTTATGGCTTTTTTCTCTGAATTCTGAATTTACATCACACAATTCTGAGTTTACATCTCGCAATTCTGACATTTTTCTTGGATTTTTCTAGCGGGAAAAAAGTCATAATTCTAAGATATAAACCTAGAATTGCAAGTAAAAAGTCAGAATTGTGAAATAAAAAAATTCTAATTACCTCTTTTTTTGTTTTGTTTTGTTTTATTCCGTGGTAAAAACACGCTTCCATGAATTTACTGTAGAATGAAGGGAGGTTATTCAGAAGGAAACCAAAACGAAAGAAGGACATTCGGAAGCAGGAAAGGAAGTTCAAAAGGAAGGAAATGCAAGGTTAGCCTGCGGTGAGCTGCTTTTCTCCTCAAGGAAACCTGATCTAAGCTGGTGGGAGTATTTTGGCATTTTGCATCTATTTGTGTGAGATGGAGAAGATAAAATAAGATCGCAGGAAGAGAGATTGAGGGGGAAACATAGGCAACAGTGATTCAGACTGATTCAACAAATACAATATATTTAGAATGATTTTGATCTAAATATATACAGTGATTGTGCATTGATTTATTAAACATGCTTTTTTTATTAGGCCGTTAAGTTTCCAAAAGAAGAGCATGCCATTATACTAATTTCACAATCCGTTCTTGTTCAGACAGAGATGTTTTAATAGCATCACTGATTTAAACTTCAGCAAATGTTTTGAGAGGTTGGCAAGTTCATTCATCACTTCAAACGATCTGTTTCAGTGATTAGATTCAAAACTCTGATTCAGCAATTTGTTGCAATTCAAAAGATTCTATATATATAAGGACCAAGGCTGCATTTATTTGATTAAAATTAATATTGTATTACTGTAACAGTAATATTGTGAAATATTTTTAGAATTTAAAATAACTGTTGTCTATTTTTTCTCGTAATTCTACGTTTATATCTTACAATTCAGACTTTTTCGCTTAATTCTGAGTTTAAATCTCGGAATTCTGACTTTTTCTCATAATTCTTACTTTTTCATTGTAATTCTCAGTTTATATCTCGCAATTCAGACTTTTTCTCAAAATTCAGAGTTAAAGACTCATAATTATAAGTTTATATCTTGCAATTATGATTTTTCGTCGTAATTCTGACATTATATCTTGCAATTCAGACCTTTTCTCGTAATTCTGAGTTTAAATGTAGGAATTGTGACTTTTTTCATAATTGTGAGATTACATCTTGCAATTCAGAATTTTTCTCGCAATTCTGAGTTTATATCTTGCAATTTTTATTTTATATCTTATAGTTATGGCTTTTTTCTCTGAATTCTGAATTTACATCTCGCAATTCTGACATTTTTCTTGAATTTTTCTAGGGGGAAAAAAGTCATAATTCTAAGATATAAACCTAGAATTGCAAGGAAAAAGTCAGAATTGTGAAATAAATAAGTTCTAATTACCTCTTTTTTTTTATTATTATTCCGTGGTAAAAACGATAAAATAACTGGTATAAAATAACTGTTGTCTATGTGAATATATGTAAAAATGTCATTTCTGTGATCAAAGCTGTATTTTCAGCATCATTACTCCAGTCTTCAGTGTCACATGATCTTCAGAAATCATTCTAATATGCTGATTTGCTGCTCAAGAAACATTTCTGATTATTATCAATGCTGAAAACAGTTGTGGCGCTTCATATTTTTGTGGAAACTGTGATACATTTTATTTTTCAGGACCCTTTGATGAATAGAAAGTTAAAAAAAAAAAACAGCATTTATTTGAAATAGAAATCTTTTGTAACATTATAAATGCCTTTACTGTCCTTTGTGATCAATTTAATGCATCCTTGATCAATAAAAGCATTGATTTCTTTCAAAAAAAGAAGATTAGACCTCGAGCATTCAGTGCTGCATTAACGACAGCTGGCGCTGGTCTAGATGGAGGAGTGGAGGTTGTGACCCTCGGGGTTGGGAGTGGACGAGGTGACCAGCCCGAACATGGGACGCATGACATAAGGCCACAAAACACTCAGTAAAACTCACGAGTGTTCATATCCTACAGAAATCTGCAGCTCTTTTTCCAGGCACAGACTTCGTGTAGGCTTGCTGATAGCATAGCCTTACAGTTTATACAGCATTTGATCTTTATCTGGAATCATCACTACAGCAAATATGATATAAAGATCAAACGCTCGCTGAGATACAAAACACTGTCTGGCTGCTGTTCAAGCTGCCATTAGTAAGAAAAGACTACACATGCTGCTAAATAACTGAAACACCTTCAAACAATACAGGACAGCCTCCAGTAAAGATGTTACACAAGCACACATGAATTATGATTGCACAAGATCCTGAAGCCTTAAAGTATATCATTAGAAAACTGCTCGACTATCATTACACTGCGTGTTTGCAGCTTACAGAAGATTGTTTACTATCTACTACTGTACATTCCTGTAGTGCAAACAGAAGAGCACAAAGCTAGCATTGTCAAGGTCATGGGTTCGATTCCCAGGGAATGCATGAACTGATCAAATGTAGCGATGCAGAAACCAAAATTAAACTTTGGAAATAATCAGTCAAATGTGTTTAATCAACACTCAAACAAAAACTGATGTGTATAAAAACATGCAAGCAAGACAACTTTTCAATGATAAAATTATGTTCCTGTACCAGTTCGTTTTTGAAATATAAACATTTAAACGGTGGCTGTAACAAGAACTTGCTAACATGCCACGTTAAAGTTCAAAATACTGACAGAATTTGAGAGATGAGACTTTGTTTCATAAAAGTAACAAAGCACTAAGCTTATTGTGATTATTGGATGGCAGTTGTGCTACAAATAATGTTTTTAGTGATGTTTTATTCACAAATCCCGAAGAAGATATTCTGAAGAATGCTGGTAGCCAAGCCGTTGCTGGTATCCATTGACTTCCATAGTATGGGAAAAATACTGTGGAAGTCAATGGCTATACTAGTAACTGTTTGTTTATCAACATTCTGGATTTATCAAAATGCAAAAGTGTTGCTATATTTGTAATTAGCATTGTTATATTGCTAAGTGGGTCGTAGCACATTGCTGTGTGGTTGCTAGGGTGTTCTAGGTGGTTTCTTACTAGTTCAATGCAAAAAAATAAAAATAAAAAATCATCCACCAACTGTCTACTCTGATTACTTGGTCAAATTGGGAGACAGGTTACACACAAGTCTAATCTTAACATAAATTGGGTAACACTTTACTTGAAGGGGTGTGCATAAGACTGACATGACACCTTCATAATCATGACATGACACATGTCATGAATATGAAGGAGGTTTTATGCATGTTTATGACAACTGTCATTAAGTGTCATTCGCTCAGTTATGTCATTTTTAATGCAAATATGACATTATTTGACCTAACCCTACCCCTACCCTTACCCCTAACCATAGCCCATAACAAAGACATCTCAAACAATGTCATCTTTGCATTAAAAATTACATAACTGAGCGAATGACACTTAATGACAGTTGTCATAAACATGCATAAAAAACCTTCATATTCATGACATGTGTCATGTCATGATTATGAAGGTGTCATGTCAGTCTTATGCACACCCCTTCAAGTAAAGTGTAACCAAAAATTGTTTGGTACTCCAGATGGCCAGAGTGCAACCACTTGCCACCAGGCTGGTTTCGCTGTATCTCTTCATGATTGTTCATGATAGCGACGCTCAAAAAATAAGTTATTGGCTGTTCAGTGTTCAATTTGAACTGCCAAAGAGGTATGTGCTACCAGTCAAAAACATGGCTGACTCAGCTTTGAAGTCTAATTCTCTTATTTTTCATGGTTGATTAAGATCATGTCTGTTTTTAAAACCACACTGAATCAAGCAACAAAGAGTTTCGAGGCACAGTAATGGCCTGCACTGAACTTGTAACTCAAAGAACAGAAAGAACGAGAGGGAACAACGGTAACTTTGTGCCTCCACCGTTGTTGCCTTTTGCTTGTCATCTGTTTAAGCGGAGGATGAAGAAATCTGGATTAGTAATGAAAGTGCCGGTTTCCAGCACAGCTCCTCAGAGATCTCTCTATGCACATTCTCAAACCGTGTAAAAGCTTGTCTGTGTTTGCTGACAGGAGGACAAGCTTTCCTGCTCACTTGATCTCAAAAACATACTTGCTGTAGTTCCTTACGGATCTGCTCTGCTGCCCTCAGGCCTGTATAACTTTATGATGTATTTAAAGTTGGAGTGTGTCATTTCCTCAATGTTAAAATGCTTCTATTCTAGCTTAATATACAGAGACAGCAGGTAAACCATTTGCAGGTTAATTCTCCTGAAAAGTATGTCAGTATTGAACAATGTTCAGTTTGCATAAGCATCTCAAACAGCCCAACACAGCAATATGGATGATGATGTGCGTTTGGTGCAGGACTATCTGTTGGGATTGAAAGCATTTGAAGTTGAACATTTGCAATTCTGTTTGGTGACTCTAGTGGTTCAGAAATTGCAAATGTCACTTTTAAATCCGAATCGAGTTTGGACAAGTTGACCTCCACTCAGAACAAGAGCTTACCTTATCAGTTAATGGGTACAAGTGGGAAAGTCTGGGTTAAAAGTAAGCATTTAACTAATGCTACTACTTACCCAGTCATGTGTGCAGTGTATTTAATGAAGTGTGTAATTTCTTCAATGTTAAAATGCTTCTATCCTTCCTTAATATGCAGAAACAGCAAGTAAACCATTTGTAGGTTGATTGCCCTGAAAAATGTAAACTAAAGCCTAAAACTCTGTGGCACTATTAAACATTGTTACGTTTGCATGAGCATCCCAACACAGCAGCATGGACTCATCCAATGCACGGGACTATCTGTTGGTCTTGAAAATGTTTAAGGTTTGCAATACTGTTTGGTGGCTCAAGTGGTGCAGAAATGGCAAACTTCACCTTTAAGTCCAAATTCCAGAAAACCAGAGCCTTATCAGTTGATGGGTGTAAGTGGGTACGTCTGTGTTAGGAGCAAGCAGGTTAGGTAAAGCTTATTTGTCCTAAAAATATCAGTAAGTAATATGCATTCACTGAAGCTCCACTAGAGCCTCCACCTAAATGTTTGTGACATTTGTTGATTATCCAAGTCAAAATATGCAATGAAGTATGAGATAAATTTGATGCTAACAGATAGCTCATATAAGGTGCTAATGGATATTTGCACTATTCAAGAAGTAAACCTAATGACATTGTGTGATATTTTTTTATAAACCAGGACTCTTCAACTCCAGTCCCGGAGGGATGGTGTCCTGCAGACTTCAGATCCAACCTTATCAAACACCCTGTGTTACGTGTTTGATGTTAAGAAGGGATGATACCGTAACATTTAGGTGGGACAGCTGTTACTGGGTGTGGTGCGGATCAAAGACGATACTGAAATGTTCCTCAGTAAGACTTTACTGAGCGTATTGAGAGAAGATACAAGTGGTTTGGTCTAACATAGAGTCTAACCATAGGAAAGAAAAGAAAACCAAAAACAGGCGTGTCACCCAAATTAAAGAAATAAATAAAACAGAACACTCCTTATAAGTTACCTCTAAACTAACTACCAAAATAAAGAAATATGAAAATAAAACCGGAATCTTCAGCATATGCGACGCCCAAACTAAACTCTCATAAACTACAAACAAAAATACAAGGGTGGCATAACACTCACAATCCTAATCTAACAGAATATAAACTAACCTAATAAAAAAAACAAAACAAGCAATATAACAACGACCGACTAAATATTCGAATCATCACAGAAGGGAAAATGTGATGAAGTAACTGGATACCAACATGCATTCTTAACGTTAAACTAGACACGTAATCAGGCTAGAACTCTAGAACCAACATCCGCAATATCTTTTACAAAGAATTCAATACAAGTCAATAGCTAAGAAACAAATCTATAAATAGATCAAAACACACAACAAGATACATGTAGCATCAGGAGACAGCGTTGGAGCACGAGGTACGCTGGCATGGCGCACACCCACACACAATCAGCTCGAGTCCTCAAATACAGCTTGCACGTCACCAGATTGGCAGAACATCATGACGTCGTAATGATGATTGACAGTCACGTCAGCCAGTAAACGCAGACCTAGGAGAGGAGCAACAATAACAAAAGGACAGGAGAGCGGAAAGAAACACAATATACACAGAACACACGTGGAACGTAACACCCTGGAACAAGTCTTTCACGGTGTTCAGAATTACATGCAAATTACATACAGGTGTGTTTAATTTAGGTTGGAACTAAAGTCTGCAGGACACCCCCCCCTCCCCAGGACTGGGATTGAAGAGCCGTGGTCTAAACTATACAGATATGATGAGAAATTAATTCCTCAAAATGTCCTTTCTCGTCTCTCAGATGCACACAGACTAATAACATTTGACAGAAAAAAAGAGAATGATCCACACAGAAAGAGAAAGAGAGAAAAGAGATGTGTGGTTTGAGACCCCTACTTTCTTCTCATTGTCTCTCTTCATCTGGACCACAGATGCTATGCAAGTGCTCATGAGTAATTTTTGTGATGCCATGGATGTCAAAGCACATATTCATACCATTTGTGTGGTTTGTATTATAGAGGCCCTCTAAGTCAGAAATTGTTTTATGGTGACTGTCAGCCAAATTAAATTATTTAACAGATTTAAATTAAAGCCGTGGCCTAGTGCGTGGACTAGTCGCTCATCTCTATTACTCATCCTTTATTTTAGTGGTTTGAACAAACTTGGGACACTCTAGCGTCATGTTAAAAACCCCTTTGAACACACTAGCAGAACCAACCACACAACAAACTAGCATCGAATGTCTTTCTTGTAGTGTTTACCTAGCCAAACCCTGCTTAGCTTCCTTGTTGCTTACAATTGTCTTTTTCTTTCTCTCAAGGTGTAGACCTTATTCATCAGCTGGGCCTTTCCGGTCAAAGAGACATACACTCTTCTGGGACACCTTACCTCACCTCCCTTGCCTCATCTCTGTCCATTCTGCCCCCTGGTGTTGGGGTTATCCTCGGACGGGATGCCCTCATTGAGGCCCCATCAGTGGACCTGCTCCCCGCAGGCGTGGAGGAGGAGTTTTCTATCATAGTGAGTTTAAGCTCCTGGCGAGCGAACAATGCCTTTATTTTTAGTGTGCGTGACGACAGGGACAGACTGCAGTTTGGCTTGCAGCTCCTGCCCGGAAGGGTAGTGGTTTACATAGGCGAGAAAGCGTCGATCTACTTCAAGTACGATGTGCAAGATGGACAGTGGCATTCCTTCTCTGTGGGGGTCCGGCCACGCTCCATATCTTTCCAAGCACGCTGCGGGGCTGTGCAGTATGGCGAGGAAACGCTGACCCATCCACAGACGTTGAGCTCTGAAGGCCGCCTCTCTGTGGGAAGGATGGACTCCAGGGCGGTGCAGTTTGAAGGAGCATTATGCCAGCTGGATATTTACCCCTCTGCCCAAGCTGCGGCGCACTACTGCGACTATGTTAAAAAACAGTGCAGACTGTCCGACACCTTCCGATCTCTGTCAGGGAGCTCAGAATCCCAATTCCCATCGGTTTCACCTTCCCCAAAGTTTCACCGCAGCTCTTCGGAATCACACACATTTACCCCAACTCTTGCGGATCACTCCACCAACACTATTCCCACAGCACTTTTTGACCAGTTTTCAACCGCAAGCTCTCCGATTTTTCGCTCCAGCACACCTAGGTACATGAACCCATCTCCAAGAACCTTCAGCAAGGTGCAATCCCTGGACCTCACTCCAGAGACTTCCACGAGCAACCCCGCAACAGAGAAGACCCTTGACGGTGAAAATGACACTGAGAATCAGCCGCTTCTCAAGAAGCCCAGAGCAACTCGGGCCACCCCGGACTTGAGCACCATCGTCAAGCAGAGCCGTTTGAAAGAGGCCTTGAGGAATGAAGGTAGATCCCACCAATCCAACAAAGAGCTTCTGCAGGCCAATCCTAAAGTGAACAGCACCATCCTGTACCGTGAAGAGAGCAGCTATAACCTGGTGGACCAATCTGAGGATCCGGTCCAGGAGGGGCTCGACGCAGGATACTCTGAGGGTTATGGATACGACTATGGTTTTGAAGAAGACGAATATTTCTTCGACTATGATGGATTTGTTGGTCCTAAAGGAGAACCGGGTCCTCCAGTAAGTACTCTCTGATTATCTTTCTTGTGTTGTTGAATGACCTCCATAATCTTCAGAATCAAGTCGCTGCAAGCCGGAGCAAAGCTCTACTTGAGAATTTATCCAAATTACAATGCATAAGCGTTCAGGCTAATTTATGGCTTTTTCTTGGGCAGAATGAAAAGCTCTTTGAGAGAGAGCGTGCACTTGGCTGTGTTTCTGTGAGTCATATTGATCAGGCATCTACTGGGCAAGAGAAGAAGTAAATAATTTGCTAGTGACAGGTAGTGATTTAGAAGCAAGGTGATAGTTTGTTTTTGTCCTCCCGGACTTACAGGTGGTTATAATAGCATGTTTCAAGTCACCGCCAGTTGCTCGTGCTGTAATCTGACTGATGTGCTAATTTACGCCTCCATTTGTAATGGAGTTTTGCCTCACATAGCAACAAGATAACCAGGTGATGTCAAAACACTCAGTCTAGTCTAATTCTGCTTTCAAAGTCATGTCAGGATAATCATGTTTATGAGATGAGCGCACACGAATGCCACCGCAATGTTGTAATTAGTTGTGGGGAAACTCTGGGGTTTCTTTCCGAGCCGGAGGCATATCATTGCTAGTCATCAAGATAAGCTGTAATGGTGAATGTTGGTACAGTTTAGTTTATCTGTTGATGAACAGTGCTAGAAAATGCTACCTATTTAGCCCATTTATAAGATGCCAGGCCTATTTGGTGAACCCTATATTTCCTGTCATTCTCTACATAGATTAACTTATATTCAATTGTAGTACATAGATTCAATTGTGCATCTTAGATTTTCATTACTGTATTTTTCACAACACATCAAAGACATGAGGCTATTTTGGCCTTAGCATATATATTCCTGTGTTGGGTAGTGAAAAATAGAGAAGAAGTAAGATATTTCCCAGAGTGTCCATTTTTATTCTGACCAAAATCATTTCCCAAGGGGACTATGGGTTAAAAATAATTAGCACTAGCTTAGACCTCAGTTTACGCTTATGGTATTCCAGTACAAAATGATCCGATTTGGTGTTCAAATAAAGTTTGATGTATATATTTTATAATTTGTGTGCTGCCACAGGGAATGATGGTAAATAGGCCTGTCATGAATTAGCACTGGCTTGGCTCTCGGTTATGACTCTGCTATGTTAGTACAGCATGACTTCTTTCTCCTTGCTTTTTTCACTGTTATAGCATGGGGAATATGGCTTGATTTACTCAGAGCAAATGCTAAATATAGCAACGTACATGAAATAAACTCTCAACAGCAGAACTGCAGGGTGGAGCGCAGTTGTATATTAAGTGTAGGTCAGTAGGCCATTGTGAACCTCAGTTCCAGAATCCCAGAATATATTCAATCATGCCAACAAACGAATGCCAGACGATCTTTTTGGAAAAGATTACGATGACGCCCCAAAGCTCCTCTAAAGTAATGTTTTACTCATGTTTAAACAGTTGCCTGCACGTTTATGTGTGGAACACTAAGGTGTTTGCATAAGTGGTTCGTGTGAGGATATGTGGATATGAGACATGACTTTGTGGATATTTTTGTTGGACGTCACCCTAAGTGCTCTCACTTGGCCGAGGGATATGGTGCATTCCTGTCTTGGAAGAACTGGGGGAGGTAAATTCACCAGCTGGGTCTATCCAAAGTCAGCGTTTCATTGCGCTTTCCTATCCTGTTGTAACTGTAATTATGCCTTGAAGGTACAAATCAGTGAATGAGATGGATAGCTTTATGATTTTTGTTTCCAGAGACCAGAAATCAGTTTCTTAAAATATCTAATGACATTTTAATAATTCATTCTGTCATTTATCCAGAGCACTCTTGCTGTTCATCTTAAACCAGTTTAGGGAGTTTACCTGGTCTGTCTTGATGGTTTTAGAGTTGTAACTGTTTGTGAGAGCAAATGGTAGACCAGTGCATCTCTTTCAACAGGGGTTTGATTACTGAACATGTAGATTCACCTGCGGTGTTCAGGCGGTTTGCTGTCTCAGAGTTTCCACAGATCTCTGTCGGCCCTGAGCGCAGCTGCATGGGCCCGAAACATTTCGCCTTCTCTGATAGGCTGAGCACGACTAACCTCCATTCCAGATGTTCCTACACACTTCTGTCAATAAGCAGCCAAAACATAAGAGACACATTAGGAGGAAGACTAGTGCTTTCAAAACCTGTGAGGCTTTGTTTATGTGGGTCTTGAATAATGGTTGTCATAACACAGAGCCATGTCTGGGAATTTTCTTTGCTGCCACTCTCATCTTACACAATACACAAGTCTAGTGTGGCTTTATATATGTATATGTATATGTATATGTGTATATATATATATATATAATTAGAGAAAAACATTTACGTCATAATGATATTTCCCCCCATTTTAAATTCTTATTCTCCAATGAAAGGTTAGATTTATGTGAATTTTTTAAATAAAAGTTAAAAATGATTAACAATGCAGATTTATTTTCACAGCCTTCTTTGATCATATTTACATACTTATTTATTTATTTCCTGCGACTAAGCGACTAATAAAATTTTGGTCGACCAAGCCTCTTCTGTATTATTTAGTGAACAACAGTGTGGGAAACATGTCTTAATCATATTTAACTGTTTAAACCGTTATTTTAGTCAAAGAGATTAACTTTTTTGTTCCAAAGATTGATTGATTGATTGATTGATTTGATTTATTCATTGGTTTATGAATTTATTTGTTTATGCATTTGTTTATTTACATATTTATGAATTTATGCATTTATTTATGCATGCATTTTATTTATTTATGCATTGATGCATACGTTTATGCATATATTTCTGCAATTCATTTTTTATTCATGCATAATAATTATAATATGCTTTCATTTAATATTAACGTTGAAAAATATTAAAATAAAAAAATTATTAATATACATTTATTGTTAATTATTTACTCTTATTTACCATGCATTTATTTAATTGTTTTAAGCTATATTGCCCAACTCTACTAAGGCACTATTTTCTGTTAAGCAGGTTTAAAGTAATACATAAAATGTAAAAAAATGTGAAAAGCACTTGTGCACCCTTGTAGTAGGAGTGCACAATATAAGTAAATGTATATCAGTATTTAAAAAATGTTGGTCTTTTACAATAAATCGTTGCTGGTCGACACTCATTGTACTGCATGTTTGTAGCAGCTGTCACACTTAACCATCTCCTTACCTTGGCTACAAATCAATCACTGGCCATCTTGGCAAAAGAGCTGATCTGGTCTAGATAATTGTCAGCCGTATGTTGTTGCAAGCACTAAACTTTAAACTTTTATCGTCTCCAAGTGTTGTCAAACATCAAACACGCGATTGTAGCGGTTCCACCTGTGGACACACAGAGCGAATAAACTGTTTTGTTGCTTTCATCTGGAAAAAACAGGTGTTAGTTGAGATTGAACATAGACTCATTTGTTCCATCAGAAGGCGATTAAACTGCCCTGTGAATTGACATGTTTGCTCATGCTGTTTAGTGATGGTTTGCTTGCTAGTGAACCAGTGAAACCATGTTCTTATGAAGCTGTTTGACAAGGTTTAAGCTTCACCAACATCCAGCTCAAATGATTCACTGGTGATGAATAAAGAACAGCAGGTCAGTGTGAGTTTTTAATGTCCTTTTATGAGGCTTTTAAAACGCGTGTTATAAATGAATCAGGGTTGTTTAGTTAGCGATGCTTCAGCTGTGTGTCATTCCTCAAGGGCTAATGAGCATCAGCACAGGTTAATGGAAGCTTTTAATGCAGGGTTTTTATAGATGTGCGATTGCTCCTAAATAGTTGCCTTTACAAGAGCCACATTTGGAAGGATGTTTTCATTCTGTTAGCGTTGTCTGACAGGCCATTTGCTCAGTCTCTGTTTCTATTTCATGCCGGGTAGCACATTGATCCAAAATACTGCTGCACATAGAGGTTTATTAAACATCAAATATTTTCTAACTGCCTGCGTTTATGTCAGATATTTTAGACTCACTTAAGACAAGTCTTTGCTAATGTTTAGTGTTTATTTATTTGCTAAATAATTTTATTTCTTATAGACACAGACAGACAGACAGACAGATAGACAGACAGATAGATAGATAGATAGATAGATAGACGGCTAGACGGACAGACGGACAGACAGATAGATAGATAAATAGATAGATAGATAGACGGCTAGACGGACAGACGGACAGACAGATAGATAGATAAATAGATAGATAGATAGA